TTTTTAAAAAACCCAGTTAACATTGTGTACTCCTTTAAATTGGTCGCTTTTTTAAGCACAAGGGTGCTATCCCAAAAACTACGCTTTTGAGAAAATCGAAGGTAAAGTTTTTGCCCCTTGTTCAGTTTCTTTAAAAGACAAGGAGAGTTTTCTTTATAACCAAACAAATATATACACACACCAATGGAACCAAACTTCTCCTAAAGGTAGGGCAATGCCCACTTTTGGTGTAGGTCAAGATTTCTGGAAACCCTTGAAATCTGGGTTAGCTCACTTGTCCTTAAAAGCGACCAATTGGGATGGGGGGGGGAGGAGTTGATGCTTTATTTTGGTCATTGTTTGGTTGTTTTTTTTCCCTTGCTGGATTTTGAAGTTTATGGAATGTAAAAAAAACGTGCAATTTAAAATACACATTAAAACTTCTCAAAATGAGTTTGTGATGTTCATTAGCTAATTAAGGGTTCTTTCTTTCCCTTTTTTGTGCACAACTTTCAAGTTTTTAAACCACAAAATTTGATGAATGGTACAAATACAAACACTTACATGGTCTGGGACCTTTGCTGGTCCTTCTCATCCAGATGAATTTGAGGCTGTCTTCGATGAGCTAATAGGTGCAAAGACAGTGCACTACAAGATGGTTCACTCTTTAAAAAAAAAAGAAGCATAATCGACAATCAACATACAATTCTGCAAGGGCTAATAAGGTATGTTTTGTTTGAGTTCTCAAACAGGAGATTTAAAAAAAATAATTTTAAAAAATCTGTAAATCTTACGTTCAACTCTTTATGTATGTAAGATGTTTCACTCCTTGAGAATAGAATCAAACTCACATGGACGTTGACGTCACAGCGTGTAGATTCAGATGGCATGGAGGGCATCACTGGCAGGTTCAACTTTTTTACCGTACTTACTTTCTGCCTGCTGTTTCTATCAGTGTATCATACTTTTCCCCTTCTCTAAGTGACCATTATTGTGTCGATATGCTTGTTTACTTGAATACTGTGGTAGATGTAGCCACCACCATATTTGAGGATGGTGGGGTTTTTAATTTTTAATTTTTTCTTTCTTCTTTTTTTCTTCTTTTTTTCATTTTCCTGTGGGTTTTTTCTTTTATTTCTTTTCCTGTCATTGCATCTCAAATAGACAAGTGAACTCCAGCATCTGTGGTGTAACAGTGAGGTGCTTAACAGTTGCGCAAAAAATACATGAGTTTGATTCCCATAGGGGAAAAGATCTTTGATATTTATCGAGTTTATCAGACTTTCTGCTGGGATGTTGTTTCCCTCTCACTCTCAGCCCAGGTTAGTCCACCTTTTACATGATCTAAAATGTGTTGATGGGAGCATAAAAACATCTCCTTTAAAAAAAAAAATTAAGAGAAATGAACCAGCTTGTACTGTGCAGTCTTTTGTAGAATCCAGTTGACAAAGTAGGATAAAGGAGTCATAAGATAACCCAGTTATATGTATTAGACTCTGCTACCTGTAGATTTTTATGTTCTCTCTATATGTTGCCTTGAATTGTCGTATGATCTTCTCTGAACAGCATTTTTATTGTTTGTTTTTCTTTTCCTTTGTTCATTTTTATTTTTCTAATTTGTTATACTTCTTAAATGCTTTTGTTGGACTTGTACAATGTTTTGACGTCAGTAGTCACTGAGTTAGACATTTGGGGTTTGGAAGAAAATATGGCAATGACATTTTGTTATGAAGAAGCGCAACTTAAGAAAATGAAGATTTTTCCCTCCCCCCTCCCCCTCTTTAAAAAAAAATTCAGTGTAAGATTTAACAAATGTTTATCTGGACATTTCTAACGTGTCTTATAAAAATTTAATGATTGGGATAATTTGAGTTGTGTCTTTGATTGTATGAACACACAGTGTTTTTACTGAAAGAAGAAAAAAAGTATCTGGTGCTTATGTGTCTCTGGCCTGAGTTTGACCATATTGTGTGTTGTGTGACTGTTGCTTCAATAATGTGTGTCTGGGTGTGCTTGTGTTTTGTGACATATATTTATTCATACCCCTTGAACGTTTGTAAACTGTTATTGCTTCTAGAAACTGTCAGCATTTCTAAAACCAAGTAAATAAAAACTTCTTGTCTTTGAAATTCAATTTTGAAATTCTTGAATGTCTGCTTCTTGTGTATGTGTGTGTGAGTGTGTTTGTGTTTGTGTGTGTGTGTGTGTGTGTCTGTGTGTGTGTGTGCATGCGTGCACTCGTGTGTGTGTGTGTGTGTGTGTGTGTGTGTGTGTGTGTGTGTGTGTGTGTGTGTGTGTGTGTGCGAGCACTTTTGGGGGTCTGCTATTTCACTCCAGAATGAAATATTATTTCTGGGTGGTTGGCGAGTGCTCTGGATTGGTTTGCGTCTTCTTTTCTATCCAACATCTATCGTCCTTGATCTCTCCTCATTCTGAAGTTAACTTTAGGCCATTCCCAAAGGGGGAGGGGGGGGGATATTAACATGTTCTTATGCACAGCAGAATTGCAGATGGGTTGATTTATCAATACCATGCCCATACTGTTCCAGAACAACATATGGGGGAACTGCTGCCTTTTCTTTCCTCATCCTTACTTTCGTCATTTTGTATGTTTGTTACTCTCTTATGAACTGCTATTTCCGGGGTGCCTTGATAGTCGAAGCAGACTATGTGCTGTTGAGGCTAAAGACATCCACCCCTTGGCACTCATATGACCTTATGCAGTTGCGAGCGTCGTAAAAAAAAACAACTTATTAAACTAATCTTCTTTTTTGTGTTGTTACTCTCTTCTTCCACCTCTAATCTTCGGCACTTATATGACCTTGTTGTGTTGCAAGTACCGTAAAACACTCACTAAAAGTGGTTGGTTGGTGGGTGCTATGGTGTATTTGCTCCTTCTTTCCTATCAAACGTCTATCGTCCTTATCTCTCCTCTTTCTATTGTGTTTGTTACTCTCTTGTAACACCGAATATTCGGCACTTGTATGACCTTATCGTGTTGCAAGTGCCGTAAAACTCTTACTAAAACGAACTTACTAAAACCTTAATCTAGATCTAGATATTATTTTGTTCACTTTGTAAATAAAGTAAGAAAATACTCTCTCGACTTTCCAAGGGAAGCAATCACAACCTCATGGGTGGCGAACAAATTCAGACACTATAATATTGATTTCACTCCCCTGCACATATGCCACCGTCGTCTCAACAATAACGTTGACAATAATGTTATGACCAACAACGACATAAGCAACAATTATTATACATAATAACAAGAGGAAGGATCTAAAAAATCGGATGTTACTGTAGGCTACCCAAACTTTGGGCAGTTTTTTAAGTTCTATACAATTTACAGAATCAGCC